GTGACATTGCTTTTTTATCAGACTCGACACTTATTAATAATGGTGAACGTTATCATTCAGCAAGTTTCGGCGGTTGGAATGTCTCACTATATGGATATCGCGGTGAACTTGAAATAGGAAGTTTTTTTTTATCCAACGACAGAAGAATAGTTTTCATGACGGTGATGAAAGATTCCCGTTGCTACAATTTGTACAAAATATTTTTTTAAGCCAAAATAACGTGATTTCAACCACTCTCCCAGGTATGGGTTGCTACAATATTGCAACATTGTTTTCATTGTTGACTGCGTTAAAGTCGAACGAGTGCGATACTTGCTTAGCGGCTCTCCTTATACGATTTGCCTGAATCGTTTCTAAGGAAACACAAACCACGACATAAGGGCCACGACATATTTCAAAAAGAGAACTACCGTTTCTGCTAAGCTGTCACAGCTATTTTGCGTTCATCCCTTGTTTTACGCAATTAACAATTTTTATAAGTATCACGACAGACTTCAAAAAAGTCAACTGTTAATAGAACCACAGTCAACGAATAGAAAATAGTTTTTTTTTTTTTTGTGTAGAAAAAGACCCCCTGGGCATGTGCCCGGATATGACCTCAACTTCTTTATTGTGCCAAAAGTGGGGGGTGGGCGTTTGTCCAGGCATGGGCTCTTACCCGGATAAGTACGGTATATTTCTAGATTTATAGATACTTGTGATTGTCTTTTCTAGTCTGAGCTTTATTACGGAGAAGACAGTGAAATTAAAGTGACTACTGGTAACCTAGTCTGGCTCATGCATCCGGTAAGTATACTTACACTGTCCACTACGTCTTTTACTTTATTTTCAATGAAGGGTTGATTCAGTGGAAATAAAATCCAGCAAATACCTTTATACCAATTTTCTATATTTTACATTCAACTAATAGCAGTGAAAATAAATTTCATACAAAACAGCCAAAAAGTTTTTTCAGCAAAAATTAATTCCAGCTAAAATTTCACTTGATATCACTTGTCAGTAGAAATGTTGATATTATTGATGCATGGATTGTATTATTTGAACCTATAGTGAGTGGATAGTACAAATTATGGTGCCACAGCTTTACAAACAAATGATATTATTATAGTATTTTATCACATCACATTTTATCAAATTGCCAAAAAATCAGATATATGCTATTTTTGCTAATTAAACCTAGCATCAAAAATTCTATTTGTAGACATGCATTTGTACCTAGTTGCAGCCACTAATGGTTTTTGATCATCACCAGAATTAATACCCTTTTGAGCACTATATCTTCAAAATAAATCTTTCTGTTGTCATAGTTACGAGTTAGTGTAAATACACCATTTGTTGTTTTTCAGTCTGGTATTATCATACTGTGATAACAACGGCATTAGCATTTGATTTGTTTTTTTTCTGTGTCCAGTTGGAACATGCATCAAATGATAACATTTCCATTATACACATAAACATGTTATCACCTACATGTAGGTATGTCATTGCACTATGGTGATGTGCATTTTATATATTCTGTACCAGAATTTACACCGTTGGGTTTGCCTCTACTGTAAAAATGTTGGAGCTCAATTCAACATCCATGGAAAACCATTTGAGGGAGATTTTTTATTTAATTGTAATTTTCACCCAGATGTCTTGCCAATCAATTTCAAGTTTTATCAGGAAACTCTTAATGCTTGGATTAGATTAAATAATGCTAAAGATCAGGACCCTGCAGCACGGTGTATAATTTGGATTAACAAAAATATCAAATTAGATGGAATGTCTGTGTACTTTCCGGACATACAACGCATGTGTATTCGCTATATTGCAGATTTGTTAGAACATAAGTCATTTGATAAAACATCTTTCTGGGAAATATAGCACTCTGTCAAAATTACAGTTGTTTAAATTAATGTGTATTTGGGATGCTATACCTTTGGAATGGAAATTGGACTCCCTTGATATTCCCGCTGACCTACAGAGAACTTTGCCGAACTCAATTTGTGCTCAATGTTGATGGAAAAAATACATATTAAATCTGTCTAAATATATACTGGTAATAAAAATTACTTTTTTATGCATAAACAGCCAATTACAAATATCTTCAGGATATCTTGTGAGAGAATTTAATCTGGCATGGTCCCGATCTCAAGAAAATAAAATGTTTCTCAATATAAAAAAAAAAAATGTTAGTAAAAACATGTACCGGTACTTTGTAAAACTACATGGTGGTGTGTTATTGCAAATAGTAACCATTACATTAACACTCGGGGGTCGAGGCATGAATTATGTTAAATGTTAACAAATTTCTGTCAAATATGAAAAATCCTGAGCTTAAAGCTAGAAAATTGAGACAGACACGTGTCTATTCACGTTTGGTCCTCATACATTTTGACCGAATGTTAGTGTAGTAGTCCCATCATTTATTGGAAAAAAATTGAGCAATTTCTACATGTACTAGAAACTTGTATTTGGGACTGTATCTACAATTATGATAAATATATAATCCCCAAGTATTCCTCACACTTGTGATGTCATCTTTGTGACTACTCGTATAGCTGTATCTCTCCTCGTCTGCGGCTCCAAAAAAATATGGTCGCTATATACTGGGAGCCACTCATTCGTTTGTTTGTTTGTTTCACTTGTTTATAATACTGAGAGATTATATTAAATACGAATATCATCGGTGATATTTCATGATAAAAATCACAACTGTTAATGATACGTGTATGTACCACTGCCATGTGAAAAAGTCCCATATCTCGTAATTTTTACAAAAAATAATAGAGAATTTATGTTAATTTACAAACTCTACTCGGCCGGGTTGCAAGCAGACTTGGCTGTAATCGTGTAGTCATAAAATAAGTATAATACGTATCTCCCACACTGTATTCTTGTCTTGTCTGGAAAGCGTATATAAAGTATGTACATTTCGTTTCACTCTAATTGTACCTCTGTATTATCTTTATTTGTAGTCTGATCATGATACTCAAGATATGTCAGCCAATAGATTTGAAGATAATGAGGTAAGAATATCAAACTATTAAATAATGTTCACTTTATTTTCCCATGAATCTCAGCATCCATACTATCATCATTCTTGCTCAAGTCACAACTTTTGCTCAATTTTCGTATTTTTCATTCCAGAATTGAACTTTTCTGTATTTTTATCATTATTATGCCAGGGGTTTATTATTTTGAGTAGCAATGATGAGCTGAATGAACTGTTTGGACTGCTTAATATAGTCTTAATGTGTAATCTATGGGATATATCAATATTCATTGTTAAGTATTAGAAACACCACAGACACTATGAGTTTAGTAGTAGGTCAGACTAAGTGAAATTTCATGAAGGCCGCATACAAATACAATCATAGCAGTTTACGTAGTGCATGTGTAGCTTGTTTACAATTGGCATATAGACAAA